AGCTTTCCAGTACCGACGGAAGTATTACATTTAAGTTGCCACTGATACCGGATTTTTAAGTGAAAAACACATCTCCATTGCTTCTAATTCATAGAGGGACCATTTAAGCAGGTAAAGATAGGTTGATTTTAACGTCTCCATTGCACTGGATGCAAGACGACGTCTCTGAGTTAGACTGAACCAGCAAATGCACGAACAGCAAAACAGTTTTCCATTACGCGTATTCAAATATATAAACAATATAGGATAAAACATAACTGCTTTCTTATGAGGTAAGTAACAGGAATGGCAGCTTTCCTACGGACAGTGGGAAACTCTGTTGGTCTATTTAAACATGCCCTTTTTAGCCAAACTCAGAAATGCGGTCTAGACTTCGTTGAGCAGCAGGAGCTTAAACACAATGGAACTGTGACCTGTTTCAGCAGTCTCCCTAAATGACTTAAAGCAAGGGGTAATGCATCTTTGCCACGTAATTCAATGTCAGTGTTTAAAATCGAACTGTTCTTCGTAATTCCTATTTGCGGAAGATGTTCAGCTCAGCATTTCAACGCGCAGGTCTTTAAATCACCCGCCTGTGTCAAAGTTTTTCGAAAAGGAATGAGAGAAAGAGGTCGTAAATCACTCAAACTTGTCTAAGTTTTGGTTCTGCTTTCACATTTTTCTGATGACGTTATTAATCATCTCTCTTTATTGATGCTCCTTCTTGATTATCTGTCTGATCTGGACCTCACACTACAATTTTTAGAACACTTATCCCTTGACTGAAACGACAGAGAGAAGGTAATTAGCTTGGCTTATGTAAATTCATTAATTTAGTTTCTGACAGGTTTTTATTCCGTGGCTAATAGTCACTTCTAACCTGACCTCATTCCTTTTCCTTGAGGTACTAATGGTCTAAGCTGTCTAAGATACGCAATTATCAAATTATTTGAGTACTATATTCGTACTAATTCCGCTGTGTATAGTGACTAAACGGTCATAATAGTTAAGAATGTATACTCTATGCTACTTAGCTGTTTTTACCATCTAACCGTTCTTAAGAGAAGCTATGATAAATGACTTTAAAATGGCAAGTATTTGTTAATCAGTCAAATTTATTTACCTGAGGAAAGAAGGTTGCTATCAGGATAGAGTGAGGTTATTACAAATTACAAACAAAAATTATTCAAGAGTGATGATATGATAGTGAACACGCAGTTATCACTAACCCTTCAACCATTTTCATTAGTAATCATTAACTGTTAAGAAACCAGATAAAGTGGAAGCAAAACGTCTTTTAAGAATGCGAAAAGCAGGAAATGATCTCCTCAAGAGGAAGGATTGAGATGCTGATAACAAGAATGAGGCGGATATGGCAGTGTAGGAAAATACATTCCAAAGTCACAGGAGGGAGTGAGTCACAGAAATCCTGAGATGTCCTCAGTGCAGAAGGAGGCACTAGTGACAACAAACATGTCACTATACGTCGTCAGAATATGACCGCTGACTAAAGAAAGGGAGCTCCTGGTATCTACTGCTAACAGACTAACGGAAAGAAAGACGTTTGGTCGAGTCCCTCAAGAAGCGAGTAGGTTCAGACACATGGCTATGCCGTTCGAGTTTAATCAATGCACGACGTCAATGCTTTGACTTGTCCACTGTATGGTGGACGAAAAGCACTGGAAAAGACTCCTCCAGCTGCTTCTCTGGAAATGGATGAATGCATTTTGATAAAAATCATTCGAACAAATTAAGTAACGCTTTTTTAATTGCGTGATATGGATTCAGCCGCTACATACTTAGCCAGAAAATTAATTGCCAACGTTTCGGCCAAATAGCATTATGCCATCTTTGGACACAAAAATGATCTATTTGCTTGGACAGTTACCAATGAATGACAGAACACCGAGGTTCTAAGTACCTTGATTAGTGCTTCGCTTCTTCCGCAAGTTCAGAGGTCACAAACGGGGCTGCTTGTCCACGTGGTGAGGATGCCATGTGGGGGACTGTCCAAGCACATTTTTTTGGTAAAACCATCTTGAATACGGCCCCGGCGTTGATCACTAGCAAATGTCTCGATTATACAGAAGACCTGCCATTATCGTGCCTTAAAATCTAGAATGCAGAACTTACCTTTAGCGGCGAACTTGGACCATTCCAAAGGATTCCAGAACAAGCAACCTCTGCAACCTGGAAGAATCATCCGGCAGTTTGGCTATGGATGAATTTATCGTTTTTAGACACTGTCCAGTATTCTCTCTGATATTGTGTCTTTGTGCCATGAAATAATTGACTAATTGAACGCTTTTACAGTTGACCGCTTCGTCTCCAGGGTTATTTGAAGTTTCTTTCCAAGTTTCAGATTCCTTTATTCATTTATGCTCAGTGCATCTACAGGCAACAGGAAACGCTTCCAACAACTTCGCAGTTTCCCTCATAAATAGCAGGAGATAATATATAAAAATGTATGAAAAGTACGCGACATGCAATCAACGATACAGGGTTCTGATGGGTTCACCTGCTAGGTATGCCTCAGCTAAAATCTACCAGGACCATTTTGAAAGAAAAGCTTTAGGCTCTGCATTCCCATTATAACGCACGCTTGATGCCATCGTTACACTTATCATGTGTTTGTCGTCATTAATAACTAGATGAATTCACTCATTCATTCCTTATTTATTTAAATTCTTTGGATATTAATAACCACTTAAATTTTACTTTGGAAAATGAAGTCAGTAACATATTTCTATTTCTTAAATACCGTATAGCTCCTGCAGGACTAGATTTTACATCGTTGCCTGGATGATGGGATGGCACCTGAAGTGTCAGATTCATCTCGCCTTATGTTTTTCGCTAGAGCCACCAAGAGCTTATTACAAATAATTTTTCAGTAGCTGGTATTCCATATATGCTACTGCATAAACATTAAAACATGTTCATTCGCCACAGTGTGTCAAAAATGCACATCATTTCTTGATATTTTGCATGTAGGTCACATTGATGATTCCTTCAATTTTTCCTTACATTGAAAACATGTTTCTTCGGCAGCTGTAATTCGGACTTAAACCATTTGTTCAGCAGTAGTTGAAAATTAAACATTTTTCTTCTACGCAGGAGATTAATTCCATGGTCTTAACGTTTCTTGTGGCGTTGCTCTGCATTTACGGTTTATTGCACAAATCACCGAAGCTTCGAACCATACCCGGCTTATTGCTCAAGGTACTTGATGCAGGCCCTGCAGTACTCACTGAATATTTACGTATATCATAAATGCAAACGAAACTTTTAGCTATTTCAAAGCAAAGTTTTCCAAATGCCATATTCCAAGAAATTAGCCATTTACGAAATTTTCAGGAGAAACGGTTAAGCGAGATGCTAGGCTAATTCTTTACTCACTCACCGAAGGCGCGGATATTCTTCAAGCCTCATTTCTGCATTTTCATTAATCCATCTACAGATTTTTATGATATGGTTTCAACGTGTTTTTCTCTAGGGGAGTCATGTTGGGGTCCATATTGTCCAAAAGATTCACTACCGTACTTGCATGCAAGTTAACAGTGCTTTATTCCAGTGCATTGAATTTTTGTGAACGCATTCACATGGGCAAAACCTTTATAGCTTTCGAAATGCAAATTAATGAACATGAAATAGCTAACACAATGGACACTGGTTTTGCTGCCCATGACCTAAGAATGACCATGGATTGGACAACGCTGATGCCAAGATTATCGATCAGCAACGTCAAAGGTCATGGTGAAAATGCTGATAAAAGAATAATTGCGCATCTGTGCGAAATGAAGCAGGACATACAACGGCACGATCAGCCCGTTTGACATTTTCAGGGCAGGGGGGGTAATTAATTCTCTCGATTGATTGGTTTCACACATGGCGTTGACCTTCATAACTGCTTATGCTGTTTTAACTGTCATTAGTATTGTGGCTGCTCAGATTTCTCCAACTCAGCGTTTGTTGTGACGACGACCAACGCAGTTTTGATAAAATGTCGGCAGGTGAAATAAAGACTACCATCTGTCTGTTTTCTCGTGTCTAGGACCATTGAAATCATAACATATCCATATGTATTCCTGACACCCCAACATATCTAAAGTTATGCGCAGGTTCCTGGTAAGCGCGGGTTTACTGTAGCTTTCTTCTCGAGGTCTGATATCAAACGTTCTGTGCCTTACAAGAACCTGAATATCACCCATCCGCCTAACCACGTGAAATGTTACATGTTGAGTCCAATGCAGCAGTTGCGGACGGCTTTTTATTCGCAAGATATTCGAAACTTTTAAAGTATGAACTGGTGATCACCAACGAGCAATTCGCCAAAGATAATTCTGACCATGGTGGTTTCGTCGAAGAAGACGTTTCAGTGGTTGACCCCGAAAGAGATGAAGGTACTTTAGTGACAGCTGATTCACTTTGTAGCTCAGCTAATAAAGACAAGCTGTGCGACGGTTGGATAACTCGACTGATGATAATGAAGGCAGGAGACAAGGCATTCATTTATTATTACTGTAGCGTATGTTGCTTACGTATTTTGTCTTGAGAAATGGCACTATCGCTTCACTGAAACTTTAGAAACTGATTAACAAACTAAATGTAATGCTAGCCTTTGTCTTGTGTCCAAAACCACTAAATCAGACGGTTGGAATATTGCAGATAACTGTGGAATATAATTGCATAATAATGTTTTCATTCGTAATCAGTTAGCAATAAGCTTTCTTGCTGGATATGATTACACATTATTCTGGAAGAGAACGTCAGAGTCGAACGACGATACAACTCGGTCTGGCTGGGATCGCGCAAAATCTTCTTGTAAGGCGCACAGTGCGTGGAATAAAGTGTACTACGCTGAAAATTACCCTCGTAGTTACAAATTTGCTCATTTAAAGTTTTCGCCCTTTCCAGGATCGCTGCCGCACCAGTTCAAACTACTGATCAGTGGCTCGAACGAAATCCCCCTGGACCCTAGCTGGCGATTTCCGAGAAGTAACCACCTTGCATCAACGTATTATTGTGATCTGCTAAAACCAGTGGCACTTTCAGCTGGGAACTACCGTCAGATGGTGAAACGCAAATGTAACCTGCGCGATGACTCGCTGAAGTATTCACTGGAAGGCAGCTTGCAGGAGATGAAGATTAACGACGCCCGAGAGCTGCTGACAAATGCTATTTACATGGAAGACAGCGAAGTGTGCGTCAGCGGCATCCGTGTATACGGCACCCCGTGGTAGGTACCTCGTGTCCAGAATTGCGTGGCTTACCTATGCCGTACCTTATTACCGCATTATCTTATTACAGGCAGCCTTACTATGATGACTGGGCGTTCAGCGCTGGCCGCAGGCAGCAACTGAAGGACAAGTACAACAAGATACCTAAAGGAATTGATGTCCTACTGACATACGCTCCGCCGCTGGGTACGCTGTGTACTTGCTGGTCAGCTACGTTCAGTCACAGTATGTCGCTGTTTCAGGCTTCGGCGACAAAACTTCCGCAGGAGTTCACATCGGCAGCGTAGAACTGCTGAACGTTACTCACAGCAACGTCCATCCGAAGTACCACGTTTTTGGCTACCCCTGTGAGGGCCACGGCTGTTTCACCAACGGTAGTACAAAATTTATTAACGCGTGCTGTTGCGACGCCAGTCTGAATCCGAAAAACGTGCCTATCGTTTTTGATATTAAGATTCCTGAATAGTGGCTGTTAGTGCAGTGCTTGCCAATATGCCATGTATACAAGTTTTGTGAAAATTTTTCAAGCTGGTAAAGCTGAGCGATTTTCAGTGAATCTGGAGAGACATATGTTCCTCAGCTGCGCAACCGTCATTAGATGTATTGCATTATTGACTGGAAGCTTCAAGGAACAGCGTTCGTTATAAAATGTCTTAAATATATTCAAAATCATGCCGTTGCTTCATTTGAAAATCTATCTTTTGTTACGCTTGTCTTAATGAAACGTTTCTATTTTTGTTGTTAATGCTGCATAGTTGTTACCGTGAAGTAGCTTTACCCCTTCTATTATGTACATAACGTTTTTGTATATGATACCACTGCGCTCAAAGTTATATCCCTGCTGTCAAACTGTTTTGGGCAGATATTTTTATCGAACATTTCTATTTTAAATGGAGATGCTCAGGAACAGATGAACAACGCAAGAATGATATATTCATAAATACGCGCTAACATGAGCAACTCGTATTCGATGCTTCCAAGGATTAATTATTTCATTCGTGCCATGTTCGTCGGGCTGTACAAACAACAAGCAGAAGAACAGCTTTTTCATGCACAACACAAGGAAAGGATGGAAAGTCTGTAACCGTTGCAGTCTTAGTCTTCCTTGCACTTTGAAGGTTTGGCGTTGATCTCCATTTCCTAGGCAATAGCCAGGACTGTCTTATTTAAAAGGCAGAGATGATTGCAGCCATGTGGCAACAACAAGCATAATGCGTAGTCTCATGCTTCCTTCCCACAGAATGGTTCTCATTTTTTGACCTCAGCAGGAGGAAAGGAGAATGACCCTGACCAACGCTTAAACCCGGGACCTCTTGGTTCTGCGTTCGACGCCTTACCCACTGAGCAACTGCGGTTTGAAATAGCGTGTAGTAATTTCATTGCCTTAAAGTTTCCCGGGTTACACATCTAACGACCATTTACCATTTAGATATTCTTCTACAACGCCACCACTGTAATGTAAAATGGTAATTGAATGATTCAGTCCCCATTTGGCGAGTTTTCTTTAAGGTGAAGGTTAGGCCAAGAGGCCTCTCCGAGGAAAACGATCCTCTTTGGCACGAACAATGATAACAGCGGTAAAACACTTTCACATTTTATCCTTGAAGAAGGATCTAAAACGTCACATCGGTCTATCTCTGAT